AAAGGGTCAGGGATGTAGCTCAGTGTAAAAAGTTCTGTGTTCAAGAAAAGTGAATAGTTATGAGTCATGAAATAGATTTTAAAGGGCTCTAACACACAAGTTCATAATCTGGTTCAGTGAACTTGGATAGAGTGGGACAAAACTGTATTTCCATTGATCTATACCTGCAAGATAGCACTTGCTTTAGTTATTACTAATAGACCACAAATCATAATAGTATTAGCAGTTCCGGTGACGTTGTCTCACACACACGGAAAAGCACAGATCATGTGGTATTTCATCATGGCTGTTACAGATGTCTGGAAATAGCATTTGTGTTCTTCATTACCTTAAAATTGTTGTAGCTATTAGAGTCACCGCTTGATCGTTACCTAATTCATTAAAAAGAGGCATATATGTTTCTATAGCACACATTTAAAAATATTTTGATAATGGCATTTCAACAGAGTAAATCTCCTTTGTAAACATATGTATTTTATTTTACCTGAAAGCATTATTCTGAGAAGGAGTCTGGGGGTTTCGTCAGATTTTTCAGGGCCCCTGGCTCACAGAGTTTGAGGAACTCTGCCCCCTCTGGGTCCCAACACAGGAAGCGCTGTTCCAAGCTGGGAGCTCTTGGTGGGGCAGAGTCCCAGCCGCTGCGCCAGCCCCACATGGAAATCTCACTCATGGCCAATATTTCTGCAGCATTTGCAGTGCCGGGCTCTGCACCAGATCTTTGGCATGGGTCATTTCGTTCCATCTTTCAAACTGACTCGCGAGAGATGCATTCTATTTTTAGTCCCTTTCTTGGGCTCTAGTCTCTCTCATCTCTGTACCGTCTTTGTTTTTCCTCCTTTAGCAGCCGAGGTACTGTGTCTTTTAATCCGTGTACTGGATGAGCCTCTGGAAGGAAGGCAAGGGTTGGTTTTGCTCAGGATTGCAGCCCCCAGATATCGAATATGCAAGGTCCCAGGGGGTGCCGAAACCGCTACATCGTGAAGAATATTTTCCTACTCTATTTAAAAATAAATGAAAAGTGATCCCCAAAGCCCTGAGTGAACAAAAGAACAAAGTATCGAAGTTAGGGTTTAAATGTAGATGCTCTCCTAAAGCCTCATGTGATTATCAGCAGGACCGTTGGAAGGTGACTGGATTACAGGGGTTTATAGCTGACTTCCTGTTAGGAGGGGCCTGGTCACTGTGAGGAGACCCCAGGGCTCTGTCTCCCTTCCCCTCCCCCGCTCCTCCCTTGGCTCTGATTCTTGTGTGCCCGAGGAGCAGCTCTCCTCTGCCCAGGCCTTTCCACTACACTACCCACCACGCACCGACCGAAACATCTAAAATCTGAGTCAAAAGAAACTTCTCCGTTAAGTTGTGGAGCCGGGTATTTTGTCCCGGCGATGAAGAAGGTGACTAAGGAGATCAAAATTTCAAATAAAATCAGTATCTAGCCCTGCACTTGGACACCTTTCCTGGCCCTTTCAGGGCGGTTGCTGAGGGCATTTGCAGCGCTCTGCAGATGGGGCCCTGAGGCATTCACGGCCAATTTGAACTATATCATGAAACTATATCATGAGACGCTATCTAAAAAAGAAAGAATAGAAAAGCGATGGGGTGTAGCTAAGTGAGAAGGCCCTGGATTCAATCCCCAGTGCTGAAGCGGGGGAAAAAAAGACTTTCAGGAACTTGCAAACTCTTTGATCAACAGCTTAACTTTCAAGGATGTTTTTTAAAGAGAAATCTGTACACAATATGAAATGAGTCCCATTTAAACAGACATTTGGGTTTTTTGGTTCAATATTCAACAAATTATTGAGCACATGCTACATGCCAGGCACATTTCTATTCCCTGGAAGCACAACAGAGAGCAAAACTAACAAAAGTCCTTATGCTTGTGGATTATGTTCAATCGGAGGGAGATAAACAATTAACAAAATAAATTAATAAAACAGTGTGCATGCGCATGCGTGAATGATTGCTATTTTAAATAGGGTCATAGATAAAAGGGTTGTTGAAGTGACCAAAGAGGTGAGGCTGAGGGCCAGGGATTTGGCTCAGTGGTTCTGGTGCCTGCCGCATAAAAAAAAAAAAAAAAAAAAAAAAAAAAAAAAAAAAAAAAAAAAAAAAAAAAAAAAAAAAAAAAAAAAAAAAAGTGAGGCTGAGAGTCACGTTACTGGCCTGGGAAAGATGTTCTGAGGAGTAGAAGGAACAGCTAGAGCAAAGGCCCTGGGGTAGAAGTATGCTTTGTACATTAGAAAAAAATTTTTTTTGGTACTGCGGATCAAACTTGGGACCTTGTGCTTGTGAGGCAGGCAGCAGAACCACTGAGCTAAATCCCTGGCTAGTACATTAGAAAATTGACAAGCAAGTAGTGTGCTGGTCAGGGAGGGAGAAGATGAGTTATAAGACAGGCAGTCCAGGGTGGCAGAGATGCAGGGGGGAGGTGGGAAGAGGGCAGCATCATTAGGGCCCAGGGCGAGCCTGTTTGAAGTCCAGGAGGGAGGTGGTGACATTGGGCCAGAACGGTGAGAGCAGGGCCCAGTGGATTGTGACCTTGCAGACCGCTGAGGACTTCAGATTTCACTCATGTGATGGGCAGCCTCGGGGAAGGTTTGACGACGAAGTGACATGATGAGACTGAAAGTGTGACAGGTTCCCTCTGGCCACTGTGGTGAGAAGAGCCTGAAAGAGACCAAGGGGAGAAGCAGGGAGCCCAGTCCAGTGACTGCCGCAACGATCAGGCCGTGGACAGCGGTGGCTGTGGCAGAGGAGGGGTGAGAATGCAGATTCCTGGTCTGTTTTGCAGGCAGAGCCCAGAGGAGCTGCCAATGGGCCGCTCACTGCGGCACTGAGGGCCAGCGCCAAAGTTTAGAAGCTGCCTGAACACCCAGCAGCAGGAGACTAGCAATTACCATGTAAAATAGGGTGCGAGGCTGGCTCACAAGAGAATGAGGAAGCTCCCGGGGTGTGAATGCAGCCTGATTTCCGAGAGGTATTAAGCGAAAAGAAGGCACAGAGCAGTGCCTATAGTATGCTACTATTCATGCGTGGTAAAAGAAAACAAAACACGAAGAGACACGTACGCATACACGCGTGCCTGTGTGTGTTTGCAAAAATCACCTCTGGAAAGACAAGGGAGAAGCTGGTGGCAGGAACTGGGAGGACTGGGGTCTGGTGGGACCAGGAAACGGTGCTGTTCACTGGACCCTTGGATCGTGGGCACCGCCCCTCTCCCGGTGGTTCTCACCTGCAGGTCCCCCGAGGGACAGCCGAGGGCATCTGCAGACATTTTTAGTTGTTGCAACTGAGACGGGTGCTCGTGTCCCATGGGTGCGGTCCAGAGGCGCTGCTGAACATCCCGCGGGATGAGCTGGCCCCTAGGTGCCGAGGGCTATGACGCATCTAATACGATGCTGTGTTTAAGCGACTGCCTTCCTTCCCTTCTCTGTCTTTTCAGGGCCAAGGGATTGAAGCCGGGGCCTCACACTTTGGGGGTTCGAATTATCCTTTGTTTCACTTGGTGATGGGGAATGTACATAGTACAGTCTAAAGTCTGAAAACTACTCTTTCCACTACGTGGGCTTTGGAATATTGGGCAGGGGATTTAGCTCAGTGATGCCGCCACCTGCCTTGTAAACACAAGGTCCTGAGTTCGATCCCGGGTCCCATAAGTAAGGAAGTCAATAAATAAATAATATGGTTCCAGGGTTGGGGATGCTTGCCTAGCATGCACGAGGCCCTGGGTTCCATCCCCAGCACTTCCAAAAGTAAAATAAAAATGAAACAGGTCTCCAGACCTTTGATCCTTTCCCTAAGGATGTGGAATTCCTGTCTTCTGGGGTGTGAGCTGGATTCAGAGACTCATGGAGGCTGGTGCGAGTGATGGAGTCTGGTTTCTGACACTAGGTCATTGTGGTTTCCCTCCTGGCTTCTTTGCTTGAACCATGCACTCCAGGGAAGCCAGCACTGTGCCACAGGGACATTCTAGAGCCCTGCGCAAAGCCACAGTGCGAGCGACAGAGGCCTCTTGCCGACACTCAGCAAGGAACAGAGGCTCCCAAGCCACATGAGCAGGAGCAGCAGCTCTTCCGGGGAGCAGACGACAGGAGCTGATACCTTAACCGAGACTGCTGGGAAAAGCCTCGTCCAGAGCCCCTCAGCCAGGGTGGCCCTGAACTCTTGCCCCATGAAAGGCAAGAGACCACAGATACTTTGAACTAAGCTGGGCATCGGGGGTATTTATTACACAGTAGTAGAAAGTGAATACCGGGACCTGCAAGCCTTATTAATCATGGCAGGGATCACAAAAAGCCTGGCTATGGTCTGCCCCTGTGCATGCTTCATCTGGCCAACACAGGACCAGAGAAATTGGGATTCATTGCCGGCATTTATTTCCCATAAAATGCAGCCTCAATGTGCAACAGTCAGGCAGGGACCGGCCCTTCAGACAGGTGCATGTTCTCCAGTTTGCCGCACACACCACCATGCCGTTATGCCTCCCAGCCGGGGCGCTTTCCTCCTTTAGGTTACCTGCCCCATCCCCGCAACCATCAGAGCTTCTGCACCCTCTTGAGAGACATTCTCACGAGCAGGGCACCCAGGCACGGTTGACAAATGGACAGAGTTCGGGCTTTGATCCCCGAATGCTGCATGGGATTGTGTTGCTATTGGCTTCCACATCTGGGCCAATGAGCCAACATTTTCATGCTCTCATTGTTTAGGGGGAAGAGAAAATGTCCATGCCACCAACAGGCCCCTAGACGTCTAGATGCAGTCCTTCTTGTAGATATTTCCACCCGTACTTTCCTGTATCCTCCAGAAAAGAAAACAAACACTACCAAGCTTGTTTTCTCCATACCTTTTATTGAACTCTGCGGACTTCATTAAGGGACCGTTTTCTTGGAAATTCTTAAACATTTGGACACATTTTACAAGACAGGACGCAGCTGGAAGTCACACAAGGATCACGATTTCATCTCACTACATGCATAAAAAGACACTGGGATTTCTGTTGTTTGGTTTCCGTTTGTGTGTGTGTGTGTGTGTGTGTGTGTGTGTGAGCATGAGTGTGCTCAATGCTTATTTTCACCATTACAGGAAGGACTAGAGACATCAACTGTTGAAAAATGAACAGGACCCACAAATGCAACCCGAGAAGAGTGGCTGAGGATGTTGGTCACTTATGGCTAATGTAACTGGCTTGGTCCCCATCATGGGTGGGGTGATCAGGATGGCTTTGCTGTCAGAAAAGCCCCAACCTCACACTACAGGTTCCTGGGAGGGACAGAGGGTCTTAGCTGAGAGCATGGGGGCACGTGCTGTCATGGAGGGCTTCAGGGCTCAGATACAAGGAGAGCATTGGCTCTAACAGCAGGACAGGCACGCCCTCTCGTGCAGCTGGACTCCGCGGCTCAGGAAATGCGCTCCAGGCCCAGACGTCCTCGCCCATTGCCCATACCAGCAAATTCCAGACCAAGGGAGACCCCTACTTTCGGCCCTCGGCTCAGCCCACTAGAAATCCACTCTGTGGTTTCCCATGGGATGCATGAGCTCGCCTTCAAAGTGAGGCCAGAAGTGCCAGGCAGGAAAGGAGGGATGGGGCTGGCTGCCCCTGCAGCCCCCTGGAGGTGAGGCTCTGAGAGAGGGCTGTGACCCTTATCGGGCCGGGGCCTACAAAGGTCAAATTTGGACTTCACCATGGTCCCAGATGGCATCGGTGTGGCATCTATGGTCTTCGGGGAGGGGGGCTCCCATTTTTCCTTCCTCCCCAGTTAGCAACGCAAACAGCCAGAGAACCCACCTGACTCCCTTCTTCCCCACACACTCGGGCACCCGTCACCCACATCCACTCACGTATCACAAGTGTGACGACTGCTGTGTGCCAAGCGCACCCGTTGGCGGCTCACCGAGGTCCTGATGCAAAAAACGGGGCTCCCAGCCCTTGACCTCGGACTAACGTCAAGCTAGACCTGGAAAGAAAGGAGCCAGCCGCCGGCCTACTTACCGCCACACCCAGCTCCTGGCTGTTGAGCTCCAAGCCCCAGAGAGGGTTATGCAGAGCAGGGACCCAAACGTTCCCGTTCATCCCAGCCCAGCTTAGCTCAGGGGGCAGGAAGTGACTGGTGATCTCTGTGTGGCCGGAGCACATGCAAAAGGGACAGAATTGGGAGTTTCTTACGTCTTCACGAACTGTCCTGACACAGTAATCTCATATCCCGAGCAATTTCAGCAGGGCACAGCCTCCACAGAATGTGACCTTGGAAACTGATTTTTGTTTCATTTGGTTTTGGAGGAAGGCAGCTGCTCATTCTGCCCATCCAAACACACTGGCAGGTCTCACCTGATACAAAACCTAAGACCGCCTGGACTCGGGCCCACCCCGATGTGGAAGTCCCACCTCCTCCAAAACTACTGTGTGCAAATGAGCCCCCAGGCCAAATGCTCTGCTCTGAGTAGGCAGGAGCCAGGACTGACACAAAGGGATACAGGGGAAGGGGTACGGGCACTCTGACTGCAGGCGCTGAAGCCTTTGTTTTGCTGTAAAGCTGACTATGGCTGCCTGCCCTTTTCCCTTTTGCCTTTCTGAATTATATCATGGGTGGAGATTTCTGGAGGTCTTGCATGGGATGTCCCGGTTTACTTATGGTAGTGGTGGGAAGCCCTTTGGAAGGTGCTATTTGTGACTGCCTGGGCAGTGGGTGGCTGCTACTGGGTAAAAGATCACTGAGTCGCTTTGAGCGCACAGGGTCTGGGTAGAAGGCTAAAGCACCGTGAGATGGCCAGAGGTGGGGACTTTGTGGGTTGCTCTTTGGTTGGCTTAGGGAGGGGTAGCATGTGTCCCGTGCCAGTGCGGTCCCTATTAGGCCCCTGGGGTTGGGCTGGGTGTTGACAGGGTGTGCAGCAGGGATCGGGACAAAAGCAGGGTGCCCTGCTACTACCTTCCTGCTTTGGCAACCCCCCGTGACGGCTCCAAATCCTAGAATCTGAGCTCCTGCTAACTGAGCTCCATCCTTGCCTTAAGGCTGTGCCCAGAATGCACCACACACACACACACACACACACACACACACACACACACACCAGGAAGCAGAGAGAATTTCCTTCATTTTTCAGTCCAGTTTTCATGCAAGGCTAGGAACACTTTGCAATACCCACTTTGTGTATCATCCAGCCTCCCTTTAAATACCTCGGGGGATGAAAGCTCATTACCCACCATGGTGCTCACTGGCCTTCATGAGTCGACACCCCAACTTGTTAGATGGACTTCCTTAATCTGAGCTGAAATTGACTTCCCTGTCACTCTCACGGCAGAAAATGACAGGGAACTGTTTGTGTGCAGCCATCTGGCAGATTGGGGGCTTCTTTTTCAGCTCAGCTCTACCCTATCCTGGCCAGCTTTAGGGGATCTTTTCAGCACCCTTGCTGAGTAAAACAAAGTTAGGGTTAGAGGTGAAGAACTGAGTTCACTCTAATAGCAGCCCCTTCCAAAACTGATTCCTCAGGAGCTCAGGTTCTTGGAAAATTCAGGAGAAACCCTAGGTTAAGACAACATCAGGGGACCGGAGATGTAGCTCAGTGGTTCCGTGGCCTGCCTCACAAGCACAAGGACTGGTGTTAGATCCCCAGCAACAAAAAAAGAAAAGAAAAAAAAAAAAAGAGAGAGAGAGATAGCGAGATAGCATCAGCAGCTGGAATGGAAACCCAATCCAGGCTACACAACCAACCTTTTCTTAATGAGGACAACCACAGACAGGGGCGTTTGCTTATCTGGGCACTGAACCAAGGAAACTCTTGGGAGGTAATTTTTTGGTTTTGTTTTTATGCAAAAGTTTTTTTTTTTTAACTGTCTGTTTTATTTAGCTCTGGTTTGAACCAGATCACCAGGACTTTTGCGGGTAGGAAGCTGCTCAGGGTCATGGTTCAGAATAATAAAGATGAACTTTGACTGGCTTCCTCCGGGATTGAGCCGCTGAGGATGGTTCACTGCTGTCTGATACTGGGCAGAGCCCAGAGCTCCACGGCCGATGGGGAGGCAAGTGGTAGATCAAAGCTGGGATGAAAGCAGGCTGGAGATTCCCTGGCCCTTCTCTATCATCCTGCAGGAGCTGATGGTTGGAGATCACGTTCCCTTAAAGATCCTGCTCAGTGAGACGCCATCTGCCTATCTGAGGCTGAACAATGCCTCACGGAATTAATTATCAGGACAATCCAAGAACTCTCCAAGGCTCGAAGAGGTGGAAACTGGAAAAGTACCACTATCTTTGCAAGAAATCTCGTGGAGCCAGAAGCTGGAAAGGAAAGGGAGGGTGAGACAGCAGATTCTGGGAGCATCACTTCTGTGCTGGCTACAGGGCATCTGGCCACGGCGTCAGGGAGGCGGTTAGAACGGGACTGACATGAGGGACTGGAAGAAGTCGGGGTCGGAGGTCCAGCACGTTCTGAGGTGTGAAGAACCTGAGCATCCGCTGCCTTCAGGTCTGAGTGGTGGGAGAGGCTGTGGGGCAGGGGGGGCGAGCGCAGCTGGGCCAGGGAGGACTTGGGCGGGGTCCAGGGATGAGGAAACTCAGTCCCTTCAGGCCTCCGGGAGCTGCGGAGCAGGAGCGTAAGCAGCCCGTGTGCCATCCTGATTCCGAGGCCAGTTCTAGCCAGCTTTCCTGTCTCTCCTGCGCTTGTGCCCTGGACTCTTAAGGACAACGAGGAAGAGGGACACAGACCAGATGAGGAAAGAGCAGACATTTCCTAGTGCCAGGGAATCCCTACGTCAAAAGTCAAGCCCCAAAGTCCTCCCTACTTCCCAAGAATCAGATTCCAAAGGAAGAAATGAAAAAACATCCAAAGGGACGATGGGAAGAAATGAAAAAGACCAGAAAACATCAGCTGTGATACTGACCAACAATAAAGCTCTCAAGGTATTACTTTGTATAGTAAAACAAATTAGACTCAGTTGCCCTATTATGAATGTGCTAAAAATGCATACATATATATATATATATATATATGTATATATATTTTTTTTCTGAACAGAAAAATAGACTACTCTGAGATGTGTGCACATTCTATGATGTAGTCACATATCAGACACTTGCAGAGCCAGGAAAATGGCAACAAAAAAATGCAGAGGTAACACTTATTTCTGTGTGCAGCCAGGGCTGGTTTGGGTGGCCCTGGCTGGTGGCATGAAAGCATTTGGATGCTGCCATAGAAGCGGCAGTAGGCGAGGAAAAGCCCTCTGGAGGCTGGAGGCTTCCCGTTGTCCTGTTTTCTCCTGCCAACTTCAAGAGTACAGAAAAAATGTTCCCAAAGGCGCATATCCTGGAGGCTTTTTTATTGTGTCCTTCTTTGATTCAAATTTACTTGATGCTGAAATGCCTGGGATTATCTTATTTGAGACAAGGTGGCTGAGAAATAAAGAAAGAGAGAGAGAGAGAGAGGGATAGGGAGAGGGAGAGGGAGAGGGAGAGGGAGGAGACTCCTGGCTTTAGTGACCCTTGTTCATGGTGAATTTTAAATATCCCCTTGCTCATGGACTAGAGATTCCAGCCATAACTGGAGTAAGACAGAAATATACAATAGTTACAAATATCAACAATACATTACAGTTTTACAGAAGAGAATACTGTTTTTTCCCCCCTTAGAAACATGGTCTTAGGAGAAAGGGCAGAGACGAGGCTACAATTACCAAGACACGCGGAGGAGAGGTTCAGGAATCAGTTTGAAAAGTTTGTATCCCCAGCAATTATCTGGGCAAGCTGAGCAGGTGGAAAGGAAACAGCCGCCTCAGGATTTTGTTGTTTCTCTTTCTTCTTCTTGATTCCTGATCTCTTTAGAGAAAGGGGCCTCATGGGAACAAATGTTCTCTCCTTTTCTTCTTTCTCTTGAAGTGTGCTTAAGATAGAATTCCTGAAGAAGGCACTGAGAAATCTACTGCACCGAAGACCAGCTGTTTTCTTTCGCCCAGAGATAAAACGGTGAATGAACCGGCCCCTCCATGCCGTGGCCAGTTCTTCTCCCGCTGGCCAGATACTCCCTTGTGATGGGGACACATAGCCACCTGGCCCCTAGCCCTTTCTGAAAGTGGTGGAAGTTGGAACTCAAGTTCTTGACGAGTCTCAGTGAATTTGCCAAAGGGACCAGGCATCCACCCACCCCAGCCCCTCATTCTGTTTACCTGGATCGATCTGTGTCCCCCCGCCCTCTGGCCAGTCCGGCAACGGGTGGAAATGAAAGCGCTAAAGCAGTCTTTGCCTCCAAAACACTGCTTTCTTCTTCTCTACCAAGATGGTCTATGAAGTTCAGCTTCTCAGTGGAGACCTTAGGTAGATTTCCCAGTGCGTTAGACCTGTACCCAGGTACAGATTTGGGAATGCACATCGCAAATCTGGGTATGTTCCTTTTTGGTGGGTGTGGGGGCTTCTGGGAAAATGTACACTATGCTATTCTGAGTTGAGTGCTGGGCAAAAGCTGTATTCCTGCAATACATACATATACAAGTAAAAGAAAAACAAACAAACAGAAAACCCAAACCCAAACCCAAACGGAATACTCTCTAAGCATAGTATATGCTGATTTTCAATGATTCTGTTTCTATAAGAACTCTATAGGACTCTGGCTATGAAGCCTGAAAAGGTAGGTTCTTAACTTCTGAATTCACCCTTCAAAAGTGACTCAATAAAATGCTATTTCAAGGTCAGACAAAACACACGAGGGAGGAAGGGCTGGGTCCTACATGACACAAGGCATAAAGGGCCTTTGGTTACAAGGAGAGTTGCACCAATTGGTTATTCGTGAAAAAGAAAGAAAGAAAGAAGGAAGGAAGGAATCATTTCCAAACTGTATACTTCTCATCTGCTTCTGACGAACAACGAAATGCCTTGATTCGAAGAAGAGGTGGTAAGTTCCTTCTCACTGTATATGGCTATATTTAAACATGTTCACTTTCCTGATATGTAAAATAGACTATATTATTCTTATTAATTTTTTACAGATAGCATCAGCTCTAAAAATATTTGAATCGGAAATCACAACTATTTACTTTTATCAAAAAGCATTTGTTTTCCCTGAATTTTCACATTTGTGCTGATGGACAGAAATGGCGATGAAAACAGAGACACACAGAAGATGGCCAGCAGAGAACTGTCCGCAGTCACTCCTCAAAGGTCCCAGCCCTACTGCACACCCAGCAAAGGGGTTTGGAAGCACTGTGCTTCCTCTCTGGGATGCCACCCCGTGCCACACTCAGTCTCCCTGCCCCCCCTCAGTCCCTTTGATCTGCTTGCAAATACTCTGAAGACTCCTCGGAAGAGTCAGGCTGGCATTTTCTTTGTTAACACTGCAACTAACAGGACCACGCCCTTTTGAGAGGACCCACGATCCCTGGAGAGGCCGAGAAGTACCATAAACTGAGTTCACACGCAGCAGAGAGCACACATTTTTACGGGCAACGTCACGACAATGTGACATTTGTATAGGGACAGGTGGGTCAGGCCATGGTACCCATGGGCAGGTCAGCAGCGATTACACTACGGAAAAGTGACCCAACGTGATGTCTTTGTTCCACCAGGAAGACAGACGCCTGTCACTGGATTGAAGCCAGGCAGGACTACACTATGATGCTTGGGACATCATCCATCAACAGTATACCATTGTACTACAGATGGGCAGACCAAAAAATAAGTTATCTCTACTGACACATAAACCAATACAGTAACATCGTAGGAACCAGTGGCTCCATCCAATGTCACCACACTGAGGAATGGCCAACAGCACCATGCCGTTGGAGTAAAAGCAGGTGGGATGATAGCAGGTCATCAAACTAGGACAGGAAGACCAACACCAAGAAATACACCAGAACCGCTCAGGATGTGCACAAATACTTATTGCTTTTGTCTGTACTGTCTGCAATGATGGCTGCAGGAAGGAGAGCTGAGCTTGTAGGACAGACTAACACTGAAAACACACCAATGGCTGGTTGACGAGAAAGAACAAACACCCAATGCCCAACCGTCGCTGGGACCTTCTGAGATGTGCAGGTGACTTTAGGAGAGGTCCTAACCAGGGGCTGAGACCTTGCCCGGCCCACGAGGGTGAGGGGAAGCTCCAGAGGGGCAGGGAGGGAGCTGACGACTTGGATGACACCCACCGTGGCTGGAAATGGGTTTGAAGCAACAACCCAACTACAGAGCCAGCAGGTGGCCCACAGGAAATAGTGCTTGTTTTAAAGTGCAAGATGGTGACACTGTCCCTGGTAGAACCTATATTTGAAAAACATAAAGTGCTTTTTATTAAATTTCTTTTAGCTTGAATACCACAAGAAACAAAGAAGAATTTCTAGTAGAGTAGGTGCTTTCCCTGCCTCAGCAGGAAGTATTCAAAAGTCTGGATGGGGCATTTAATGAGGTTTTTTTTTTTTTTTTCCCTTTCATTTTTGCAGGTAAAAAAGGAAATCAGATTTTTATGCTGTTCTTCAGTAACACAGAGTCTCTTTGAATAAGCTATTTCTTTTGCATATTTGACACTTGGATATCTTTTGAGTCTACACTAGTGGTGTACAGAAATCATTTTCTTTCTATCACCCTAAAGCAATGCGGAGTTCATCCCATTGGCTGCGTGCCTGCCTTCTGAACCCTTCCCAGATTGCCAGGGGGGCAATTAGAATTGAGTACAAATGGTGCAACTCACCCTGATGGTATCTCAAAATAAAATCTCAGGTTCTATGGAATATTGAAGTCAATGAAGTCATTTGAGTAAGGGTTTTGCTCTGGGATCGTGGCTTATGGAGCGATTTCCCCGTGACACAAGTGCTCCCTGGGGCCTTCCAACAGCGGGATCCAGGAGGTGACGGACAGGTTTTCCTAGAGGCAGCCAGGCAACGCTTGATACCAGCATGTTCAATGCACTCTTTTAACACCAGCCACTTCCTTCTCCAGCTGAAGCCAGGAGGGATGGAGAGGCTGCCCTCAGAGGCCATGACAGCCGCCAGAGAAGGATGGGGAGGAAGCAGGCGGCCTCAGCTAGGTCTAGAATGGTGGTAGAGGTGGCTGTGAGCTCTGCTCGTGTCATCTCCCCAAAAGGGCAGTGGAATTATTATCAGGAGGCACTGTCCCCACGGCTTGGCCAATTTCATGCTGATGGACCCGTCATGGCTGTCCAGGTCTTAGGGGACTTCTGTGAGTCTCTCTTCTCCCTGGGAGCTTTGCAGGGCTTTTCTGTTTCTGAGTTCATGAAGAAAAGCTCTGTGGCAAGTAAGCTGAACAGCCGTCCTCCTTGGACCTTGCCCACTGGTCTTCCCTTCGAGGTGGGGGGTTCAGATGCTCTGATCCCGAGTGCTCCCGTGGGCTCCTCCCCCGGGCAACACACGGACATCAGGAGAGATGTGGTTCTCAAGTTTGCACTTCTCCTGACCACTGGGGCCTTTTCCAGTCAATGCCTCGGTGGAGTAAATACAGTTCTGCTTTAAGAACGTAGGGGAGGTGGGTAAGGGGGAGCTTTCGAAGTGGTTCTTCTCGGATCTAGTACCGATGCTGAACTTGGGGCTGGTGCTGCCGCGGACGCTCTTGGGAGGGCTGGAGTCCACGCTGTAGAGCAGCTGGCCCTCGTCGTCCGTGTCAGCATCGATGTACTGGTGGACACCCGCCTCGAAGTTGAATGCTATTGCTGCGTGTTTCTCGGGCGAGCGGGGTGGTGTCCTCGCACTTGCTGTGGTGTAGATGGAGGACTCTGGGCTCAGCACAGGCTTGTCCAAGAGCATGGCGCACTCCAATCCGGGCACGGCGGACGCAGCTCCCCCTCTGTTCCTGAGAGGGTCATGGTACATTCCCAGAACGGGCAGGAGCGGACCGGGCTCGCCCTCCATGAAGTTGACTTTGAGCGAGCGGAGCTTCAAAGGGTTGTTGGTCTTCATGGAGCTCTTGGGGCTCTCGATGAAGAAGCCGGAGTGATGGCCGGCATCAGGGGTGCGGTTGGTCTCCACCAGCCTACCACCGCCGGCACCCAGAGCCCCCCGCCAGCCCGCCTCTGGAGCTGTGATGCCCCCGGTCTTGCTGGGGAGCGATGCCAAAGGGCTGTGGGAAAATTTGGTGGCTTCGGGGAAGTCTGTGGCACAGCTAATGAAGCTGTCGATGCTCGACATACTGCGCATGTCGATGCCCCCTTCTGTACGAGCCGGCAGAGGGGCTATGGGGCTGGGGATGCTCTCCATTTCAAGTTCTTCCTTTGGTTTGCTCTGCGGCGCTGGATCCTTGGTAGTGAGGATGGGCTGGGACTGTGTCTTGGCCATTTTATTGTACACGTCTTCCAACTGCTGGACATTCAGGTGCTGAGGACTGGAAGATGATCTGGCCTTCTCGGGAGATCCCTGCTCCTTGGTTTCAAAGGACTTACTCGAGCTGGTCTCAGACAGTGTCCTCTTTGTCCATTTCCACTTGTTGGGAGATAAGTGGTTATCCTGCACTTTATCCTTCTTACCCATATTCTCCCCATTTTTCTCAACCACGATGTCCATCATCTCGATGCTCCGGGCAAAAGCGTCCTTCATGTTCATGGAGACAATGCTGCCATTCCTCTTGGCTCTCTCCAGGGCCTCTCTCCGCTTGATGGCTTTCTCCTGCCTCTTCTGCTCCTTGTAGAACTCAGAGAAGTTATTGACGATGATGGGGATGGGAAGAGCAATCACCAGGACCCCCGCAATGCAGCAGAGACCACCAACGATTTTCCCCAGGAGAGTTTTGGGGTAGATGTCTCCGTACCCAACGGTCGTCATGGTGATGGTGGCCCACCAGAAGGAGGCTGGGATGCTTTTGAACTTGGTGTCATCCTCATCCTTCTCCGCAAAGAAGACCAGGCTGGAGAAGATCATGATGCCCATGGCAAGGAAGAGGATGAGCAAGCCCAGCTCGTTGTAGCTCCTTCGCAGAGTGAAGCCCAAGGACTGGAGGCCGGTGGAGTGGCGGGCGAGCTTGAGGATGCGCAGGATACGCATGATTCGGAAGATCTGGACCACGCGGCGGACATTCTGGAACTGCAGCACGCTCTTGTTGGACTCGGTGAGGAAGATGGTGACGTAGTACGGCAAGATGGCCAGCAGGTCAATCGCGTTGAGCGGGCCCTTGAAGAACTTCCACTTCTTGGGCGAGGACAGGAACCGCAGCAGGTACTCCATGGTGAACCACGCAATGCACACGGCCTCCACGTGGGCCAGCTGCGGGTTATCCGTGTTCTGGCCGAACTCGTCGAGGCTCTGCAGCTCAGGAAGCGTATTGAGTGACAGGGCGATGGTGGAGAGGACGATGAACATAATGGAAATTATGGCCAGGATCTGTGGTGAGAAGAGAGGAGGAGTTAGTCAGCAACCTCCAGCGACGATCAGCACGCTACTTCCACATTCAGGGCTGTTTTCACACCTCCCTAGTCACTGCGTGACAAATTATTTATTCAAATCCATTTAGTGCACAAATGTGAACACTAAGGCCCAGGGAACAGAAATGAGTCCCAGCTAATCAGCAAGCCCAGGGGCAGGCAAACTCTTTCTGTAAAGGACCACCGGCTTTGAAGCCTATGTATTCTCTGTTGCAAGGCCTCCACCCTGCATTTGCAGCGTGAAAGCAGCTTGGGTAACACACGAATGAATGGCTGTAAGTATGTTTCAATGAAACTTTATTTACAAAAATAGGCAGCAGGCTGAATTTCACTTGCAGTCCATAATTGGTGACTCCTGAGCTGACCATGGTGCACACGATTACAGGGCTGGGCATTGCTTTCACAACGATGCCAATGATACTAACAAGCGCTGCCATTTGCTGAGTGTGTGTGCTAAACCTCTCCATGCAATACCTTATCTTGTTCTTACAACTTCCCTATTAAGTATCATTAGCTCCATGGTCCAGAGAAGGAAGCTTGCACAGCTATGAAGAGATGGCGCCAGGATTTTAACCCAGGTCAGTCTGACCCCAGTGCATGAGCTTTTAAATCTCTGTTAAAAATCAGATGATGCTGGGTGTGGCGGTGAACGCCTGTGATCCCAGCTACACAAAAGGCTGAGACAGGAGGATTGAGAGTTCAAGGCCAGCCTGGTCAAAAAGGCTGTTTTAACAAACAAAAACCAAAACAGATGAAATCTAAGAACGTTTTTGCTAGAAAAATGCTCAGACACACAAGATTTTGCAGCTAATTTCTAGGCAGGCGCAGATGGCCTGGACCTACATTAAGTCCTGATCGAACTATGGACTTCTGTGCTAAAGATCTTAGCTTCATTACCATAGAGTCCCTGGGATCAAGAAGAGGGGTTGCACCAAAGAAAGGACTCAGTGGTTTTTTGAAGTTAATGAGCTCTAGATGCAATAAATTGCTCGCAGGATCTTTCCCCCCACCAAAATATAAACCCAATCATATTACAACCCTGTCAGTAAGCCTTCAGAACTAATGAGGGAAATATCTAAACTCCTGGCACCATATCTGCACCATTTAACACTGGCTGTTGCCGGGCGTGGTGGCGCACGCCTGTAATCCCAGCACTCGGGAGGCTGAGGCAGGAGGATTGCTGTAATTTCGAGACTAGCCTGGGCTACATAGTGAGTTCAGGGCAGTCTCAACTACATAGTGAGACCCTGTCTCAAAACAAACAAACAAACAAAAAACAAAAGCAAAAACACTGGCTGTTGCTGATTGGTGCACAGAAAATCCGGGCCGAGTGAATCTATACACAGCTCAGCCACCCAGCCTTGGAGAGCCTGGGCCCCTGGGGTCCAGGAGGTGAGCAAGTCACGGAGGTAAGCCTGTGACAAGCCCAGACCCCAGGCAAGCATCTCCCAAGCTGTAGGGCATGGACAGATCACACAAAAGAACCAGAAAGAGTGGAGCCTTTTAGAGCAGTCAGAGAGGGAAAGAAGAGGCAGAGGGTGGGGCAGAGAGGATCCAGGAACACCCCAAGCGGACGTGGAAGGCAGCAGCTAAGAAGCTGGGCTCAGGTCAGCTCATTTTGGGTTAACAAGCCCCAGCCCTACCTCTTCCTTACTCTGAGCAAGTTATTTAACTCTGAAAGCCTCAGTTTCCTCCTCTGCAAAACAGGATGATACAGAAGAACGGAGAGTGGAGGACTGCTGGGTGATTAAGCCTGTTCACGGTGTGCCAGACCATCGATCAGTCCAGGGGCAATGTCTCAGCCACAGCTCGCCAGCAGCCCGGACCACCCTGCCTCTGAGCCACCCTCGGGTCTTCGCTTCCTGCCTTGTTCTGACCCTGCCAGCTGTGTCCTGTCCGTGATCCCGGCTGCGGTGCGTGGGTGTGGGGGCGGTTTCTGGCTCCTGTGGGGAATCCCGGGAAGGACATTTGGCTGTCGAGTCCCTTTCACTCACCTCTGACCACATCCCTCGTCCCCTAAACATCACACTTTTCTGGACACACGCTTTTGTAGGTCAGTTTTGCACACCTGAGCTCACTCTCTGGTGAATTCCAGTAAGACTTTCAGAAGTGGCCTCTGGCTGCCCCCCGCCACTCCATCCTCAGGTCCCCACCACATTTTGCCATAACACACACACACACACACACACACACACACACACACACACACACACAAACACACACCACTGCTGCCCAGGATGTGTGAGCGCCAGGGGACAGGGATGGGTTCTGAAATGTGTCTCTGCACTCTCAGCACCCAGATCGGAAGCAACACCCGGCAGATGCTCCAAAGTATTTGCCGGCTGTTGCTCAAGTTCACAGAGCTGTGAGCAGAGGGGCCCGGATCGGGACTCCGTCGTCAACTTGGCAAGCATCTGTAGGTCATTTACAGCCTGTGAGGCTCCCCGCTCAATCCTGGGGGTGACAGGAGGCCAGAGAGCTCTGGTGCCTGCATCGGCCAGCTTGGAAGACAGAACCTCCTTGCCCGATGCTGCATCCTTGGTCTCAGTTGTATCAACTTCTTCATACTTTTGCTCCACTTCTGCTCAACAAACCCTGTGCTTTTGAAACAGTTTTTGGGCCGGGGAATTTAGCTCAGTGGTTCCAGTGCCTGCCTCACAAATGCAAGGTCCCGACTTCAATCCCTGGTACCCCCCACCAAAAAAAACCAATTAGCTTTTGAGTCTCAGTGTCTTGATTTGCGTTCACTGCAAGGGACACCTTCTATAGTCGTGTTATAAGGTGACATATCTGATATGTAGAAGAGAACTTTGCATGTACTTTATGAACCACAGCTGAACAGACACCTGCAAACGCACCACCCAAGCTGGGGAACAGAGCAGGGGGTTGGTAACATCCATACTTTCTGGGGTCCTTCTCCACCCTGGAGATGACATCTGAGCACATGTTCCTTTCATCCCTTTCCTTTTCCGCACAGTTCTCAGTACAAATGTGTGCATCCCTAAACAAACGGTCCACATTTTCGTGTCCTACTCTATGTGTAAATTTACTTTCTTCATTTTATTTCAGCCTTACCCTAAGAAATAACAGGTGACAATAACTTTTTTTTTTGGCACTACCGGCATATGCATTAATATCTATCAAAATAAATCCGAGATGACTGCGTTGGAAGCCGGACCTGTCTGCAGCGCCCTCCTCGGGACCCGTGGGCTCCGGACCTTGACTCTGAACTCTGCGGTTTCTTGGTGGAGCGGCCTTGAGCATCGGCACTGCCCTGGCCTGGCTTTCCTCGCCTGTGAAAGGAGGATATGTACGAGGTGTTCTCCAGGGATGATTTTGACCCCCAGGGAAAGTTTAGCATTTTGGCTGTCACAACTGGGAGAAGGGGAGGGTGCTGGTGACATCGTGCGGGTGGGGGGCAGGGATGCTTGGCACCCTACAGGGCACAGGATACCTTGAAAGCACAGATCACCCAACCGACAACGCCAACTGTGCTGAGGCTGAGGGACTCCCAGATGTAACGACAGCCCCTCACCAGCTGTGATGCGGCCGGGCGTGTGTAGCTGTCAGCACAGCGCTGGGTAAAGAGCGGGTCTGATTTTCTGGGGCAGCCAGTGGGCCCCAGGCTGACGAAGGCGGGAATGCTCCTATCTCTGCAGCGCCACAGGAGTGCGCCTGCGCGGAGGGAGCCCACTCCGGGGAAGCCTGCGCTTTTCAGAGCCGCTAGGTCCTGCTTCCCCCGGAGGCTGGCAGGGGAAGCCGGCTCCAGTTTCTAACCCCAGACAACTCCAGGAAAGGCCCGCATAACTGATGTTCTGCCAACAACACATGAATTATGCACCCAGCTATTGTACAATCCTTGGGCCCAAGGCACCCCCTTTGTATCTCGCCCTTCGCTCAGCCCAAGGTTGCCTAGAGGAGGAGAGAGGGGGCCCTGTGGGGTCCCGGGGGGCTGTCTGTGGCTCAGGGTTGGGAGGGTGGCTGCTTGGCAAGCCTGCATCTCTGTGTGCATCGCATCAGATGGCTGTGCCTGAGAACATCGTGCCCAGCACCCCCGGGCTTTTATTTTTCCTCTTTGAGACCCACTGAAACCCTTAGTGTCACGCCCATGCTTTCTGCCCGAGGAACTTCCAAATTTGAGTTAAGTGCCCTGTGCTTCAGTTTCCCCATCTGCAAAACAGAAGATCACTGCAAGATTGCAATGAAAATCCAATGAGTTTATGAGGCCTTTAAATCAGCTGTTGCCAGAGTAACTTTTAACTTTCATTGTCTCCATTACTCCACAGCTTTACATTTATTTATAAGCTAGTTTGGGCCCCATGGTGTTTTGAGACAGGGTCTCACTGTGTAGTTGAGACTGACCTGGAACTCACTATGTAGCCCAGGCTGGTCTCGAACTCACAGCGATCCTCCTGCCTCAGCCTCCCGAGTGCTGGGATTACAGGCGTGCGCCACCATGCCTGGCTTGGATCCCATGCTGTTATTTCACAGCTGTGTTGCCTTGGACAAGTCTCTCTCTCTCTCTCTCTCTCTCTGAGATTCCATTTCTTTTTATTTCCTTTTTTTTTCCTGTGTGTGTGTGTGTGTGTGTGTGTGTGTGTGTGTGTGTGTGTTCTTTTTTTGGTTCCGGGGATTGAGCTCAGGACCTTGCACTTGCAAGGCAGGCAGTAGCACTACTGAGCTAAATCCCCGGCCCTCCATTTCTTATCTCTTAACTTCAGTGTAGAGGAAAGTTACTTAGCACTTACTACATAACTGTCTCTTAAGGTGTATCCTTATTAAATTATTATTGGGAAAAATTATTATTGACCCCACCTCCACCCCCTGGACTGGCTGCTTCTGGAAGACCAGCCCTTGGTTTGTGGACACCAAGAGCCTGGATAAAGTGGCAGGTGTCCTCTAAGGAGCTCTTAAAACCAGAAGGACATTACGGGTCTGTTCTCTGGACAGGTCCCTGGC